TATTACTTTGATTTATTATTTTATTTATCGCTCTTATTAAATTATTTAATTAACTTCAATTCTTTTCATTCTCCTCCTTCTTTACTCTTTATTTCTTCGTCCTTTATTCCCTCATTTTCTTTTTTTTTCTTCTTTTTCTACTTTTTCTACTTTTTCTACTTTTTCTACTTTTTCTACTTTTTCCTCTCCTCTCCTACTTTCTCTCTATTATTATAGTAGAGAGGTGATGACGCTCCCACCAGAATTACAAAACGAAATTAATAAGTTTTCAATCGATGGATTTGCAAGAAAGTATTTTGTAACTCATAAGAAAGGAATATTTCGAAGAAGAGTCCCAGTTGAGAAAATGTTGTTATTTCAAAAAGATTCAATCAGACAACCTTTACTTCCTCTAAATGAAAATATTCAAAAAGATGCAATAAAATGCTTTAAAGTTATTCGATATATTATGGGTGATAGATCAAGAGGCCGTCTAAATCTTAATAATAATATCAGCACTATTAACAATAATATTAACGGTGATATTAGTAGTGGCCCTCATAGTAAACAGAATCAACTACTAAGTATTCAATGGTTGTTGGATCGAGGCATTTTTCTTGGTGAATTGAGAGATGAAATCTATGTGCAAATTTATAAACAATTAAACAATAATCCAAGCAGGTGAAATTAAAAATACTTGTATTTTTTAGCAGTGTGTTTTTTTTTTTTTTTTAAACCTCCCAACTTACACATCACATCTTTATATCATATTGTGTAGTGTAAGTATTAAAAAAGGTTGGGAATTATTATGTGTCATCACGATAACTTTTCCGCCGTCAAAAAATCTAGAGAGCCATTTGATGAGATTTATTAGTGATAATATCAATAAAAAAGAAAATCAGATCGATGTTTACAGTAAACATGTTTATAATCGATTGACAAGAATATGTAAAAAAGGTCCAAGAGGAAAAGTTTTGACCTTGGGTGAAATAGAAAGAGCAATGGTTGCGCCTTTTAATCCATCAGTGTTTGGTGAAACTTTGGAATTTATAATGGATCTTCAGTCTCAAACTTTACCAACTCTTAAAATCCCAAGAATTTTACCATTTCTTGCTGATTCGATACTGGATTTAAGGGGTCAATCTATTGAAGGAATATTTAGAGTACCCGGTGATGCTGATTATGTAACTGAATTGGTATGTAATTAAAAATAATAGTAGTAGTAGTAGTAGTAGTAATGGTGATGTCGATTTTTTTATTCAATTAATAATTCACCACCTACCTAGTTAATTAAATTTTTTTTTCCAAAATCTCAATTTTTAGAAATTAAGGATTGAAAAGAATAAATATGATATAGCCGGAATAACAGATCCACATGTCCCTGCTTCATTATTAAAATTCTGGTTAAGAGAATTGGCTGAACCTTTAATACCAAACGATTTTTATGAAAGGTGTATAAACAATTCTGAAGATGCGGTTCAAACCATAGAAATAATTAAACAATTACCCGAGATTAATCGTAAAATTGTCATTTTTATCGTCAATTTTCTACAGGTACGAGTTTGTTGATTTTTGAAGATAAAGCGGTTGATGGTGTATGGGCGGGGGGGTTTTTTTTTTTTTTTTTTTACGAAAGTTTTAAAAATCCTAATTTTAATATTTGTCCTTTTTCTTTTTACAAATACAGTTATTTGCAGAGCCAGAAGTTTGTAAAATTACAAAAATGCATGTAAGCAATCTTGCAATGATTTTTGCACCAAATTTCTTGAGATGTCCATCTGATCATTTAGGAATAATACTAAAGAACACAAAATACGAGCAAACATTTATGAGAACTTTAATATTAAATTTAAAAAATGATCATATCGATCACGGTACTAGTAATGGTGTTGATAACAACAATAATAGTAATGTTAACGGTCACACGAATAACATTGATATTGATGATAGTGAAGGTGCTAGTGGGTTAGATATTTTAAAAAATTATAAAAACCTAATTAAAAATAATAAAATTCAACAACAACAACAACCTTCATATTTGCAAGAAGGTACCGTTAGTGGTGGAAAACATCAATTAAGTTGACGAAGCTTTTTTGAATTTTTTTATTTTCTTTAATTAATAGCATTTTAATTAAAACGTAATTTAATATACACATCATAACACAAACATATACATACATACCCATCCATACACACACATATAATTATTATAATAATTCCTAATTTAATTTTAGTTTAATATATATATATATATATTAAAAAAGTTATATATAAATAAAAATAAAATTCCCTTCTATGTAGTAGATCCAATTTGGTACGGATCATACATTACAAGGGTACCTATACTTTAGCGTTTTTTTTTGTTCAATTAATCAACTACAAAGCAATCATATATATAAAATCAAGGTTTATTAAATAAGGCATTCATCTTCTTAATCTTATTGATATTTATATATCATTTTTTGATATTCCAACGCATCCACGATAAATATCTAATAATATAATAATAATAATAACACTATTATTAATAATACCATTATGATTATTATATATAACTTTGTTCTTGCATGTAACATAATAGAATGTACTTTAAATTCTTCAACTAATACTTCTTCTTCCCCTATTTGACTATCATTAATTATCATTATAATTGTATTTTTTACCAACTCTTATAATAACATTTGAATATTCAACATCAGTTTCCAAGATAATATTTGAAATTTTATTCGTTGATCACTATATAGTTAATCGCCAAAATTTTAAAATAATTTATAATTAAATAATCACACATATAAATTATTAACGAAGAGTGCGAGGGTGTGAAAGAAGAAGAAAAATTCGGTTTCAATGTGATTGATTAGTAATCATATGTATATGGTATTCCTTCATTTGCTCTTATGTAGCCTCTATACATCCCAGTTGAATTAAATGGCATAGCGACTATTAATCATCCATTAATTAATTTATTTATTAAACAAATCAAAGAAAAAGAAAGCAGCAGACTGAAAAATGAAACGCCCTTTACCATTTCCATATTTATCCAAGGCTATAACGCCACCAGCTCCATTAACTTTCCTAAGATTCTCAACTACATTAAATGCTGCCTCTTCGACACTTTCTTTCAAATATTTCATTCGTGACGAAACATCTTGTGCAACTCCATAACGAATAAAATACTTTTTTTTTTTTTTTTTTTTTAGGAAAAGAAGAAAACGTTATTATGTGTATTCTAATTCGTTCTTGTGTACTTCCATTCGTGCGTTTTGTCGTCTCATTTAAAATCCCCAATTTAACCATAATTATTAATGTTTATCATCACACAATTACTTACTTCACCGTTTCCAGTTCCACTTACACCACAAGTTTCATTATCTGCCCATGTGCCACATGCAATCAATGGCGTGTCTCCTATACGACCATCTTTTTTATTATTGAAGCCACCTTTTTATAAAAAAATAAAATAAATATTACATGGGTCATCATCATTAATCATCAATTGTCATCATCGTCGATCTCTTTTTACCTGTAGAAGTAGCAGTAGCAATTGTTCCATACTTATCAACAGCAACGGCACCAACAGTTCCCATAGGACTTGAATCAAACCCTGGTGCTAGACTATAACAATCATCATCCTTTCCACCTTTCTTTTTCTTTTCTAAACCTTCTAAATGTTGTTTCCAACGTTTCTCGGTCCAGAAATATTTAGGATCCACCAATTCCAATCCATTAACTTTTGCATAGTTCTCTGCTTCAACACCGCCAAGAAATACATGTGGGTTATCAGCATCAAGTAAAAGTGTTTTTGCCAATGTAATTGGGTTTTTTACAGTGTGAAGCAGTGTGCTTGCTCCAGCCGGATGATCCATTGTTCCTACCATTATCGAAGATTCTAATTCATTCTAAAAATAAAAAAATAAAAATAAAAACAAAAGGAGAATAAGAAAATTTATTAAATTGATTTATAATAATAATAATAATGTTCGTATGCTTACTTTTCCTCCAATAGTAAAAACTGCACCTTTACCAGCATTAAAAAGTGGACAATCTTCCATTACTCGAACAGCTGCCTCAACAACATCAATCGCTTTACCGCCATTCTTTAACAATTCATTTCCAGCTTTTAATGATTCTTCCAGTGCAATAAGGTATTTTTGTCTTTCTTCAATTGAAAGATTTTCACGTAATAAGACTCCTGCTCCTCCATGAATTACTAATGTCGGCCCATGATTCATTTCTTTTTTTTTTTTGGATTGATTTGATTTTAGCTGATTGAATAAATCAATAAAATAAAATAAAATGGATAATGAGTGGTTGGGATAATAAGAATTCTTTTCCTGGATAGATAATTAAACAAGCCACCTTTTTTTTAAAATTAACATTATCATCATCATCATTGATTATCTGTTTACTGTCATTATCACTAATATTACTATTGTTTAAGTATCTAATGATATCATTAATAGTTGAGAATAAATCATTTCCTAAAGTTGTAAAACATCCATAATTTGTTTTCATTTTATAATAAGAAAGAATAAACCTTATCAAAAGATCATCATTTTTTGCTACATATAGATGTATAAAAATAAAAATATTCTTCTTTCTTTTGTTTACTTTCTGATGATTTTTTCATTGCTTCTTCTTTTAATTTTCTTTTAAAATTTTTAAAATTTTGGAAAGATAAAGTTGCTGAAGAAAAGGAAGAAGGTGGAACGAATTCACTTTTTAATATATCTGTCAAAACAAACATTCAAACTAACAATTAATCGATTTATCAATTGCAAAATAAATAACCACGAAAAAATGCAACAATAATTTTTTATTTGCGATTTCCATTGTTGTAATCACGATTTACGAATTATACAACCGGGGTATATTAACAATGGAGATGATTTATCCCGTTATCCCGGAAAATACAATAATTCATATATTTACACAAAAATATATCTCCAGCTCCGATGCCAGCTCCAACCCCAATTTCGCCTCTGGTTGATCAAACTATATATAAAAAACTCGAAAAAGCAATTTTGGCCCTCAACAATGAAATCAATAAAATGTGTACTGAGGCGGAATGGAGAAGCGAGACCCGAAGTGGAGGTTTGTGAAATAATTGAAATAATTGCAAATTTAGACGTGTAACGCCTCATATTTTATTTAACCAGACCACGTTTCTTGATTAGGGCAAGCATCTGCACAAACATATCGATCGATCTGAATATTAACGAGAGAAAAAAAGTCTCCTACGAAATTATATAATGTCTTATCTGAAGAGATAGTGCTTAGCCCAGCCACCAGAAATCACCACAACGCACCTCATTAGATAAAATCGAAGCTTGAGGGTAAGAAAAAAGACAATTCCATTACAATTAGCAGTAGTAGTATAAATGATTTTTCGAATAGCAATAGTAGAAATATAATTTTAGATGATAATAATGAAAATAATGATAATGATAGCTAGTAATCGTGAGCCTAAAGAATAGATTGCATAATAAATGGCTTTGGGTCCTCCCATGAAAGCTCGTGGTTAATTATTACTTGTAATTTCATATAGATATACATGTCAATAAAAATGATTATGTGTTATAAATTATATAATATTTATTGATCACATTATCCTTTTACACTTACTATTTGGAGTGAATTCTGATAATTCCCCCAACATTTGAGACGATAAGTTTTTGTATTGACATAATTACCACTACCCCATTTACCTTCTATATTATCTCTTATATTTTCTTTTTTATGATCATTATTACATTGTGGGACATATATTTATATTTTGATCAACCACAGTGGTTTATGGATCTGATTCATTTCTATTTCGTCGAAACCCATTTCATCGAAAGTTCATTTCATCGAAAGTTCATTTCATCGAATGTTCATTTCATCGAATGTTCATTTCATCGAATGTTCATTTCGTCACAAAAAAAAAACTTCATTAAACAAATTTCTCCTCACACTTCCCACACACCCCGCCTTCTTCACTTAATTTCTTAACTAACTTCCCACACTCCTTACATCTAACTCGTTCGGTCTCTGGCTCTAGGATGAAATAATTTTCGACGAAATGAACATTCGACGAAACAAACATTCGACGAAATGAACTTTCGATGAAACAAACTTTCGACGAAATGGGTGTCGACGAAATGATTGTCGATGAAATAATTTTCGACGAAGTAAACGCGACCGAAATAAAAAAATTTTATGGTTATTTATTTTTATTTTTTTTTGACAAAGTTCCAAAAAAATCCAGAAGCACGGGATTTTTATACCCACAATCTTCAGAACTTACTGATGTAATTTTTTTTATTTGATTTTGTTTATCTTGATATACAGCTCCAAGTTTTTTAAAGTAAAATGAGCATGATTTATAAGCTAAAAATGCTCTTTGCGAGATACACATACGAATATTCTTAATGATAATTTCCGAAATAGCACTTTTGTTTTTAAAGTCTGATCTAGCAAACTTGTCAATAGTTTAACGAACTTGTTGGATGAATCTAATTATTATTATGTAATGGAAGTTGGATAGAATGATGTCTAATGTTTTGAAAGCAAGATTTTTGTATTTTATCAAACAATTGAGTAAAAAGGTTTGAAGATGGAATTATTTGAGAAAAAAAATATTCAATTTTTAATATTTTAATTACACTAAACAAATTGTATTAAACCTTTTTTTTTTTTTCAAAATATACATTTACAATGAAAACCTTCTTGAAACTTGCAATGAATTAAACTTTGATTTTACAACGCGTTGATTATCTTGATTCTTCCATTAATATATTTTAGATACATAGATTTGTAAATATGCATACAAAGTAATATTATATTATAAAATTATTTTGCAAATAAGAAAATAAAAAGAACCATCACCAACAGTCTCTCAAAAAAAAAAAAAGTAATATAAAATAAATGGATCTTTATGAAAACATACAATTAATATTAATTATAATAAATAGAAGAGCAGGATGAAAATGATTTATATAAATTTTGTGCATTAGATTCAAAAACATTAAGAACTGACTCATTGACTTTGACCCAAGATTCAAGTCTTAATTTAGCTTGTTTCAAGTAATCTTCATGAGGAAATTGTCTGATCCCTGTCTCATCACATGTCGAAAGTATGTGGACTTGATGATTTGAATCATAACCAGTATGCTTTAAGTTGATTATGGTCAATATGGACTTTGGTATTAATAAATTATTCAAATTAATAAAGAATGACTTATTGAATTCAATGAACACAAGCTGCCCACTTGTATCTGTAGCTATTGCAGTTTGTATTTCTATAGTGATTCCATATTGTATCTTCTCCACAATTTCCCCAACTACCAACACAATTACTACCATATCATGTTCTTTTTGATAATAATGATGATGATTTGTCATCTCTAATTCATCACAACTTGTAACGACTCGTAGATTATATAATGAATTTCTGATTTTGTTTAAATTGGCTTGTTGTTCTCTCCATATTGTTGTATGTCCTATTGATGTGAGACGTATTAAAGGAATTGTTGTTGA